GACTTGACTTGGACACTCCTTGGGTGACTCGGACTCGACTCCGACTCTCCCTAGGTGACTCGGACTTGACTTGGACACTCCTTGGGTGACTCGGACTTGGACTCGACTCCGACTCTCCCTGGGTGACTCGGACTTGGACTCGAAAAGTGGGGACTCGAGAGTGACTTGGACTCGTGAATTGGTGACTTGACTACAACACTGTTTTAAGCATTTCCCTTTCAATATTTTGCAATACACCAAATTAAAGGCTGCTCATTAACTAACCTTTTTCATTTACAAGTAAAATGTCCTAGTCTAAGACAGAAATTATTGAAACATTTATATAAATGCCAGCTGTACCTTGGACCACTCTCTGGCTCTCTGCTTGGTTCTGACGGCACTCCTCTCCTCAGCGTACAGTGCACCAATGAATGAGCCGATTGAGGTGCCACCCACTATGTCAATAGGAATCCCTGCTTCCTCCATAGCTTTGATCACACCCACATGAGAGCAGCCTCTGCATGAGGAAACACAAACTGTCAGGTACACTAGATCAGGGGTTCCCAAACTTTTCAGCCCGCGACCCCCAAAATAACAGTGCCAGACTGGCGACCCCCTGTCGACGGGGGGACGGGGGGGGTAGACGGGGGTCCATGAGTGTTTTTTATTGGTTAAGGGATCCTTGGTATGAAAAAGTTTGAGAAACACTGCGCTAGTGGATTGTCAAAGGGGGAGCCTCGTTATTATTAATAATATATATATATTTTTAATTATTAAAAAAATTAATTCATTTTTTTAATAATTTTAATTTGTTTTTATTTTCCATTTTTATTTTGCAATCATCTCGCGACCCCCACTCGGGGTCTCGCGACCCCCACACTAGATAACTGTTTATGTTGTTAGTTTCATATAAAAAAGTATAGTATAACATTTTTACATTACAAAATCCTTATCCGCATTAACCTACATTTTTCATATCACAAAACACAAAGGCTTTTTAAAGTCTGTAGACGTGACTCACCGGGCCCCACCTCCTCCCAGCACCAAGGCGATGCTGTTTCCGGTCAGAACTCGGGCCAGCCTAGAGAAATCACTGTGCCTGTCTGCCGTTTTCTCGAACACCTTTTCATATACATCCCTCTGCACAAACATAGAATGACACATGAAAATCACATCAAAGCTGTGTTTTTTATAAATGCACTCTTTAGTTTTGAAAGGACCTGATTCTGAAAGCGTACAATTATACAATATATGTACATGGCAAGTTAAAGAATAACTTTTTATTTTTAAAGCTAGGAAAGAGAGTTAACTTTGCTGCATACTATTTTGCTGGGGCTGCGTCTGGAGAAGACCCTGCGGGGACACTTGAGGTGCAGATGTCCAGAGCACCAGCTGCGCATGTTGAGCCACTCGACCGTCCTGGAGGGGCCCGGTCCGTCCTCTCTGTGCAGAAGGACCAGCTGCTTCAGAGCACGAACCGCTGTGTTCTCCAGCATCTGCTCCAACTGGAGGGGGGAGACAAGAGGACGGAGACAACATTTGAAAATAGACAAAGAGAGTACATGTATTATTATTTGTATTTGTAAGTCTTATTGGTTAATATAATGTCCCCTCTTTCTCTTTCTTATTTCCTAGGACCAAGCATACCTGTCCCAGAGCAGGTTCCTGGTCCCCCAGGCCGACGATGAGGATGCAGTCAGCTTGGCGGATGCAGCGCTGAGTCCATGGAGTCATGCTGCTGTCGGTCTGATACAGGACAATCCGATTGATATCCTCCTGCTGGGCCAGCCAGCCGGAGAGACGGTACTCATGGACACTGACGGATAAAGGAGAAAAGCAGGAATAAAGAGATGGAAAAGTGTCTCTTCTGGCAGGGTTTTATAATTAATCGCTGCCATGCGATTTATCCCTTAGAACTGAGAGGCTTTTATAATAGTTAGACTGACCTGTCCAAAGCAGAGGCACCCAGTCGCTCTCTTATAATTTCGCTGGTTAATAGAAGAGTTGGACCTGCAAGTGTCAAAGTGAGACAGACAAACAACAGAGGTGGTGCAAAAATATATTACTAGAGAAACAGTGAAGAACATAAAACTAATATTAGTAAGTGATGAATACTTTTGTTATAACCAAACAATACCAGACTCAAGATAAAAAGGGTGTAGTGGACACGTGAAAACTGTGTGGGCCTACCGATGGCACTGAGGGCATGGCTGAGCTCCAGGTTGAATGCATTAATGGGCACATCATCACACACAGGCAGGACAGCCACCGTGGAGAGGTTGCTGGCAGGGTTGGTGACATCAGCACTGGCTGTCATCGTGGGCAGACTCAGGGCTGAGCCTGGAAGAAAGAAAGACAGAAAGTATGTTAATGGAGTATAATGTATGTTAAAGAACGTCTGTTTGTGTGCACATAAAATGCTACTAGTCATCATCTCACCTGAGAATGGCCCGCGACCATGCTGCAGGTTCCCCAGAATCTTCTGTCCTAACAAGTGGATCAGTCTCGTGACCACCTAAACACATGACAAGCATCAGAACCAGTTCAGCCGCACACACAACCACAACCAGATCTAGGAGAAGTCACTGACCTGTGGATATCGTCTTTTGATGTTGTTGAGCGTTCCCTCTGGAAGTTTGACCAGCTCTGTGTCTCTCACAGCGTGGACGGTGGTCGCTCTCGGCTGTCTGGTCAAGGCCTCCACCTAAAGCATTACACTAGATCCTTAGATGTTTCAGAACCAATAAAACAGAATTATACTACAGAGGTCTTTGAGCTTAAGGCTAGTTGGATTTAAGAATGTTTTGTCTTTTTAATGCCACTGGGGATGAAAATCCTACTTCCAACTGCTTATCTTTTTAAAGACATGACAGTTGAATACCTATTTAGACCATATTTTCAGATTGCTTGATTTAAAGCCCTTTAAAAATGTGTAATGGTCTGTGGGAACCCAGTTGTAAGAAGATGAATATAAAGACAAATAACCAATCAACCTACATCAATGATTGGAATCGTTATATTTTTATATAAATAGATTTCAAAATATGAAATATACAGTGTCTGTTTTAACTACCAATCTAGTAAAGAAATCATTTTTATTTATACTGTCCGGGTGTGGTTACATCTAATCAGACAACATAGTAATCAACTTCAAACAAAAATACCCAATATCAGCTTATCAACACATTAAACGGATAGCCATTTTTACCTTTTCAATCTGCTTTTAGTTCAATATTTGATTTTGCTGAGATTTATTTGACATGCAGGCAGAATTCTCTGACTGAGGAGAGAAAGACTCACCACTCCGATGAGGTCTCCTCTGCCGTATTCCCCAACAAGTTCCTTCTTGCCGTTGGACTTGCGGATAACTGAACGCAGACGACCATTCAGAACAATGTAGGTGCAGTCTGACTGGTCATCCTGTCTGTATATGTGAAGAGAACAAACACAGATATTACAGAAGACAATACATGGAAATGAATACACTGACCGAGATCAATTTGCACAGGAAAGCTCAATATTTGCTAAACCTGTAGAGAGCTCTGCCAGCCTCCACAGCCATCCAGTCAATAGCAAAGTCCATCTGCCTGACGAACGGGGACATGCGGATAGCCACGGTGTGAGCGGCACTCAGCACCACGCTGGGCTGCTCCCTCATGATCCTGCAGGGGGCAGCACACAGGCACAGACGTGAGCCATACTGGCTGTACAGTATCAATACTGATTGGAAGCAGATGATTTATAGCTCAAATTATAATGGTTTCAACTAATTATGAAGGAAATAATGGAAAATTATTATTAAAAAACTACTGAAGGTTTCTAAGTAGACCTGGGTCGCAGACTGTAAAAGGGAGCAATTACATTGTTTGCCCTGCATACAATTTTAGTAATTATGATCAGTGTAATTTTTTGTTGGTGAGTTAGATGTTATGTTGTTGTATTTACATGAAACATAATATGTCCCAGGACGAAATCCAGATATTGGATTCCCAAAAACATTTTGTACATAAAGCTTCAATTAAAAATTTGTTTTTTCCTTGTTCGTGAATTTTGAAAGAGATTGACTCACTCGTAGAAATCTGACTTTGAGATCTTGACATAAGTACACTCTCTGATGGCTTTGATGGTGAAGATGAGGGGCTCTCCAGTGAGCACAGCGAGCTGGCCCACCATCTCCCCCGGGTGGGTCACAAACAGGCAGACGGCCTCCTGCTTGTCAATCATTCGCTGGTAGACATGCAGACAACCTGACAGGACAAAGTGGAGACTTGCATCCTAAAAGAGAGAAGAAGAAAAAAGAAAAAAGAAAGAAGGGAGGAAAATGATTTGCCTTGACTACATACATCTGAAATTGTATTTGATTAGCGTTTATTTCCACTTCTACTATACTTTACTGCCATACACAAGGCAAAGTGCAGCAAATACATATTAAATCCTGAATCTGATGTTGGTAATAAAGAAAAAATAAAGAAAATATAGACACACAGGTAGCAAAAAGAGTAATACATTTAATTTGTATAGCCTATTGCATGTAAGTTAAACATTTTTAAATAAAGTGTAACTTCTTAAACTAGTTAAATATAGACAAAGAAAACTGAAAAAACTGGATTATTTGTAGAAATTGGATTTGCCACACTGTTTGTAAAGACATGCAAAGCGCAGAGTAGATTATTTGACCTTTTTTACATATTATGCAGGTTCTATGACAAGGATTTTTAGGGGTTACATAATCAGCTTAACATTTTTTTTACAGTTTCCAAAGCTGCCTAACTTAAGACCCCTTGTATTCCTTTATGTCATTGCTTCTGTAGTTGAAGTTTATTATGAGTCTACAAAAAGAGTCCAGTAATTATTGTGTTAAGTAGGCTACCTGGTCTCCCTGTCTGGCCAAGACGGCTCCAGCTTTTGCTTGGTGCAGAGTCACTTTCCCATTTAACAAGGATGGGTCCTAGATTTTAGAAAGAAGAAAAAACAATGGTCAATTAAGCAGCATTTTTGATTAAATGTCTTCATTCTACTTGCATGGAGCTTAAGCTGCAGACAAATCTGCAACATGTACTTAGAGGTAGGGTATGTAAGTTTGAGAAACCGGCTCGAGATACACTTTTGTTATATTCCATGGAATGCTCTTAACATCCCGATAGCAATGAATATTTTAAGTGCTTTGACGAAAAATCCATAAAAAAATTTCATCTGTGGAAGCCGTGGTACTGTAAAAAGCACGACCAATCATCTGAGCCGGCCCGGCTAAAGTAACTGGATGGCCTACCTGCCTGTCAGCCTTCCATCTGTGCACAAACTTATCTCGTGCCCTCATTGGTCATGTGCGCGTTCGTGTGTGTTGGACCAACACACACGAACGCGCACATGACCAATGAGGGCACGAGATAAGTTTGTGCACAGATGGAAGGCTGACAGGCAGGTAGGCCATCCAGTTACTTTAGCNCTCTACTAAAATGCAACAAAAAAAGGGTTTGATTCTATTAATTTTGTCTTTTTTATTGCACTTTGGCAGCAGATTCCTGTGTAGCTTCAGATCTGAGTTGTCTTATTAGTAAGCCTAATTTATACTTTTGTTGCAACACTATTTGTATATAATGGCTAATTGTATCTCTTTTGTTCCTGTGTCATATGTGGCAGCACTGTTCAATGTTTCTTGAAAACATTACCCACTGTAGTATGTGACACGGGAATAAACTCCAACTCTGTATCAACAACACTGTTGTGTAACTTCAGGTAAATACTTGTATGTGTGTAGAAAGAGGTAATACAAAGTATCTGCAGTATTTTATGAAGTATTCATCGTACAAAGGTCAGTTTTATACAAGTAGAAGTGTGTATTTACCTGGTAGTAGGCTGTCAGTAATGGCTACGTCTCTCTATTTGGACTGGTAGATCTCAGCAGACTGGCAACTTTAAAAGTAGCTCTCGGTTCAAAAAAGGTTGGGCACCCCTGGTCTAGAATAAACAATCTCTCACGTAAGAACTTATTAAAATATGAAAATGTTCTGAAGTACTATGTGGGATCTTTGTGTCCAGGGCCACCAGAAGCCTTACAGAACTGTTTCAGCACGGGCTGCAGAGGTTTCCACTGTTCTCCGTTTACCCGTAGAGGCCTTCCTTGCTATATTCGAGAAGTACCCTGAGAGCCTGGTGCGGGTAGTACAGGTGGGTTGTTGTGTGTTTAATTCTGTTGGTTCCTCTTTCTCCCTCTATCTTTCTCGCTCTAGTGTTCCTCTATCGTTCAGTAGAAATGTACGCAGTCATAAAACTGAAGTGGTTTTATAATGTTGTGTCAGTTCGCATCAATGTGAAAAAACGAATCACTTCCTGTTTTATTTGTTTAGATTATCATGGTTCGTCTCCAAAGAGTAACAGTCCTAGCCCTGCACAACTATCTCGGGCTCACCAATGAGCTCTTCAGCCATGTGAGTTAACACACACACACACACACACACACACACACACACACACACACACACACACACACACACACACACACACACACACACACACACACAGCACACCAGACATTCCCATTGAAACATCTGCTGGTGATGTGGTTTGGCATTTTTCAGGAATTCAGCGCTATAAACTCAGCACACATGCTGTTTTTATTACAAATTGAGTTGCAATAAGCTAATGCTTTGTCTCTGTTTCACCTCTCCCCCATCTCACATCATACACATATAATTTGCAATGGTCCTGTAGGAAATGCAGCCCTCACGTCTTCCACCTCCATCTCCCCATCCAACTCGCACCAGTCCCATCCGGCATGTTAAGCGCTTCGGCAGCCTGACTGTGACAGAGGAGCATCGAGAAGCTGCCGTTAAGGGTGAAGCTACAGGTAGGGAGAAAAAGACAGATAGGAAATTATTATCTGTGTGAAATACAAATCTTAACTCTCTATTTCTGCCACCGTTTTGGGTTTAGTTTCTCTTTAAATTCCTTACCAGTGATTTTCTATATGTACCTACAGGAGGGGAACAAGGGAAGGACGGAGCAACAGTGCCAACTCTCAGCAGGACCATCTCCATGCCTGTGGACATTGCCGGTGAGGGACTTCTGCCCCTGTTCACAGAGAGATCATTTTTTCTTAATGTTCTTCAGTTTCAGCTGTACGATGTGCTATTTTGAGAAGGCACTTGCGTAGAAACATTGCTGAGATGCCTGAGGGGAAGGGGTCAGAGTGGAAAGAAGATTTGTTGACAACGGCACCACAAAAGGGTCGGCTCCCGTGTCCTAATACCAACCCCTCAGCTCTTCTCATGTCATACCAATCTACAATAAACAACACGTACAATACTTAGTTTCTGGGCATGTTCACGTCTTTCATATTGAAATCATTTTTAGTCAAGCTTTTACCCCCATTTAGTTTGCTTGTTTTTTTTATCCCGCTGTAACTGCATGACAGGTTTTCCTCTCTTTTTCAAATGAAGCACAGTGCAATAAGAAGGACTTATCTTTACCCTCTGCAGGTGACGGCATGTTAACTCAGAGAAATGTATGGCATGACAACACAGTGTTAATGTTGAAACATGAGAACCAGCAGTGAAGTGAAACTGAGGGCAAACTACACTCTCACCTTTTTTCACTAATTTGTTCACTCATTGATGAAGACAAAGGCAGACAGGTCCATTATCAAATAAAAATAAATTTATAAAAATTAGATTTAAAAAATGCAAAAGAAAGAAAAAAAGTGTTTATGATTCTTCTTACCTTACATACTGTTTGTGTCTGCATGAGCAATGAACTTGATATTTTAAAAAACAATTCTCAGCCATTGTGCTTTAGCAAAACATATTTGAAATAATCTGAATACGATCTTCAGAAAATTGCTCCATAATTCGATCTGTTTAAAAATAATAACCTGCCGAAGTGAAGTAGTATTTTTCCCCCTAACAACAAAAGCTGATTGTTGAATTAATACTGAATATCTCAATGTCTTTGTCTGTGCAGTTCTACAGACAGGCCTGAGATCGGACTTTGACATGGCGTACGAAAGGGGACGGATCTCTGTCTCTGCAGAGGATGGCAGCACTCCTCCTACGTTTACTCGGGTCAGTACACTGCAGACTCTTGAGAAACAAAGAAGATAAGGTTAATTTATCTTGTGACATAACATTGGATAACTACAGCTAGGGTTGCAACATTTCGGGAATTTTCAAAGATGGAAACTTTCCATGGGAATTACCTGGGAATTTTCAAAATTGGTGGTGTTGCAGAACAAAGACTTCCGCAGGGCATGAATAACAACAATCTTATCCAGTTTATTTAAATATTAACAAGTTTTTACTAGAAACGTTCTCATAATGCAATCATACCTTTTTTTGTATTGTTCAAAACATACAAGTTTTAAAAATATAAACGTGGATTAAACATTAAAGTACGTTAAAAACACAGCAACATAGTATGTGATATTATCCAACACTTAATAGGTTGTAATTCTTAGTTAATCATCTCATCATTATTACTCATAGATCATTGATACTTTTTTGCAGGTGAAGCTCTCCCAATCTAAAAAGAAGTCATAGTTTATATTGAAAATGTTTCATGTTTGTGAACCATTGCAGTCTACATCCCAGGACCAGCGGGAGAGGAAGGTGACCGTAGACGAGGTTCCCTCAGGGATCTATCTGTATCCAGAGGAAGAGTCGGGAGTGGACAATATTTGTACACCTATATCAAGTCGATCCAATGCTGCTTTGTTTGAGGATGCTCAGAAAGAGATCCTCAAACTCATGAACATTGAGGTTTGTTTTTATTACTTTGCTTATTTATATTGTGTCTTTATTATATATTGGTAATAAATGGCACTTAAATAAAATGCCAAATCCACTACAGAAGATGTAAAAACTGTAAGGCAACATTTGTTGTCAAATGCCGGTTTTAAGCTTTTTCTAAACAACTTGTATATATCAATTTATTTCATCATATACAGTATACTGTAGGACCCACTTTCCCAGACTAAGAAATAACCCTAGGCTGATTACATTGTTATTTTTTGCATGAATGAACACATTGTCACTAATCACTCAGCAGCATCTGCTGACAGATTATAATGGGGAAAAGGGGTCAGACAGTAGGCCTACTATACAGGAGCTAGGCCTGGAGTATTGGGGGGCAGACTGTATATTACCATATTGGTAATATATGTAAGAGGGAAAAATGAGGTAACAGACTATGCATGCTAAATTAGCTTCATAAAACTTAAAATCCAGCAGGTTTTAGATGGTGTCTGGTAGGAAGTTGTTAATACACATTTAATGAAACAAGCGGTAAACCCTCTCTGTGTGCCTCTTGGCGGTTATTTCTACACCTAATATTTCAAAACATCAGTGTCTGTGTAATGAGACCAAAGCATGATGCCTTTAAAGCAGTGGTTCCCAAAGTGTGGGGCGCGACGCCCCTGGGGGGCGCAGAGGCATGTCAGGGGGGGGCGCGAGAGACCAGGAGGAAAAATGGTTATTTAAAAAAAAAAAGATTAAAAAAAGAAAATCATAATTTGTAAAATTATTGATTCGAAAATAACATGATACAGTACTATTACGTCTGGGTCTCTGTGTTTCATTAATGCTCTGTGTGTGTGTGGAATGAGCCATTTTGTGTGCGTGCACGAGCGAGAGAGCGAGAGAGCGCACCGGTACCGGAGATCGTAGTTGTTAGCTTCTGGTGCTAGCGAGCTACGCTAACGGATATAAAGAGTCTAAGTTATCTCAGTGGATCTCAAACGTTTTGGTCACCATTAATGTAAAGTGTAAACAATTATTTCCGAGGCACACGTTTATATGATCATTATAGTTATAAAAAAATAAGAGAACAAATTAAAAACAGGTATAAAATACTATATGACATTAAAAAAAGAATAAAGTTTAAAAGGGAGTGATTTGTAAAATATCCATAAAGAAAAAGTAAATCTGTTTACAGTTCTGTTTCAAATGGGTGTTGAGAGATGTATCCATAGATCTCTTCATGTTGCTCTCAAAGTGCACCAGATTGATGCTTTTAACTTCAATATTTAAAAATAAATCTTCCCGGGAGAGCTTGCCCCCAGACCCCCCTATGTGAGGTCCACACACCACCTATAAAAATATCACTTTACCCCTGCTTACACCTATATGCCGTGAGCTGATTATCGAGCCTTCATTGTAACAGTTGCGGGTACACTGTGTATTTGCGTGGGGATTGTTGCAGTAGAAAATTCTACTGTAGCGACCGGTACATTAATGGGAAACCCTAAATGTTTGAGCACCCTCTAAGAAACATCAAGCTACCCCNCAAAGTGCAATAAAAAAGACAAAATTAATAGAATCAAACCCTTTTTTTGTTGCATTTTAGTAGAGTATAAAAAGAAATGCCTTTAAAATAGGATGCAAGCAACAAAGTTTCTTAACCTGAATTGATAATAGACTATAATCAATTTAAACAGAACAGATCTTAATGTTTGCATTCTTATACAATGTTGTACAATAATTATAATGAATAAGTTCAAACAAACTAAAACTTACAGCTGATTAATAACGGTATCTAACTTGAGTTTTTATTATATCAAAAACCTGTTGAAATGCTACTGATATTTTTGCTGTCCC